CATTCCATTCTCATCCTTCTCAACTTCTAGCAGACACACCTATCCCCTTCTCGAGGATGCCTTTATATAATTACATGCCTATTAAACGTTATGCATAACTTTAATTCGCGAACTATATCAGTCTGCTCCATCATAACTATTACTTATGGTGCACAAATATCTATAGTGCTGCATCAATGAATACAAAATGGTTTGGTGGTCGTTGATTAAATAACAAACCTGTTAGGCTCATGCGGTTATAATCATCATGAACTGTTAGGGAAAAATATATTTTTTTAATAATAAAGCTACTAGACCCCTTTACCATAAAAGTCAATGCCAGGATATAACCAGTCTCTATTAGCTGCAGAAATAGTGATGGAAATTATGTGAAAGGAACACTGAACATCGAGGATGACACCGGGTATTCGCGAAAAGAAGTGTGTCCAGGTCAGGTTGACCTGAAGCAGTCCTATTGGTTGCTGTATGACACCACTGCGGATGAACGCACACAGTTGCAGCATGAAATGCGACTTTAACAAATACTATCTTACTTATTTCCGACTAGCTTCATTCTGGACTAGCATTACAGGTTAAGCTCAACATCTTAAAAAGAGTGACATTCCGAACCCTAAATAGTCGCTGAAATTACATACATGCTGAACGAGATATGCATAGCTGGATTCTAACAAAACAAGAACTTCCTCACACGGAAGACAAACTTAAAAATTAATGAATTACGACAACGGTTTCTAGCTCATTTTAAATTCTTTTGTTGGTTAACAGACCTTGAACACATATCCTAGTGTTTTTCGATTTAGGTATACCAACGCATTGCATAACAGCGGCAAAACTATTTGTTTACAATACTGGTCGTTTTTCACTTGGAATTAGACAACCTGGCACTATATATAGTTTGTTTGTTTGTTGTTTAACGCTGCATTAAGCAGTATTGTAGCTATATGACGGCGGTCTGTGAAAAAAGTCGAGTCTTGGACAGACAATCCAGTGATTTACATCATGACCATCGATCTCCATGCTTCACACCGGGTCAGAGAATCTGACAGTTCGATCCCGTTCCTCGCTTTTCACGACAAGCATTAATTGATTAAGACCCGGGTCTTCACGGGGAACTGTGTATACATTTTAGTACAAACAGGCTCATTTCACAATTCCACAATAACATATTAGTACATTATCAATTTGAATTGATATACATATACATGTTTAACAAGTTTCATCATTTTATGATCAGTGCTTTCCAACACACCATATATATAATGCCCTATACTTAAGTGGCTAGATCGCAACATATTTGCGTGGCTATTTCTATCTTCTCAACGTCTCACAAAACGTCTGTTGTGAATTAATAGTAATCTTATTCAAGGAATTTGTTGTTCACAAATTATGTTGTTTTACAAATGGGGAAAACTGATGGGTCACATATTAATATGTTAAAATATGATAACTTTGTGTTCAAGAAAAAATGGTTCACATAAGAAAGGTCACTATATTGTCGAATGATCACTGGACATCGTCGAATACATACTAGAATTCACACACAGCACATGCTTCATTAATAATCCTTCTCCTACTTGTACTTTTCACCATATGAATACATTGCCAGGAAAGTGGATATTTTTATATTTTATTGGGCATAAACCAAAACGTGTTGGAGCTCGCTAAAATCTATAATAAGTGTTGCAAACATATTCTGAATGTAAAGTAGATATGTAAATGACTGTCATGGGAAACTACCTACTTCCCAAATTTATCAAGGACGACAGTACCACCATCGCGAATACCTTGAACCAATCAAGAGATTAATTACTTAAGAGGCATTATATAATTGGCCTTGGGCAATAATTACACGTAGCCTGCAACTAAAGCATGACGTTTAGTGAGTGAGGTAGGGATATGCAAACTGACTTTCATCATATTGTCTCAAGAGCAGGCTTACTTGTAAAAACTAAAATACTTAAAGACGCGCAAATAAAAGCGACAAAAACATATCTCTAATCATAATAATTCACCACTAAAAGCAAAGTCCATGTGGGTTCGAATCCCGGACGGGACTCAACCAAAAGAAGTACTAGAATCTGTACTTTACTAAGAAAGTGTTATCCCAAATATAACATTAGTTCCATTCCGACTATATCATAAGTATGTGCTCACGAATCACTATTAAATTGGGATGAAACCAGGTGTTCGCGAAAAGGTGGACTTGTCCTGCCCCACCGGTAGCACCCGTCACAAACACAAGCACATGCAACATTTCATGTACCAACCTTATATTTATATAGTATAAATCCGGTGCGTAATTTACAATGTCATGAGCCGTCATATAGCTGTAATGTTGCTGAGGGCGCGGTAAAACAACAAACAAACAAATACAATGTCATGACATATTTTCTTCATCTGGTTAACGTTGGCAGCAAGAAGGAGAGAGAAGCAACACGTCGTCTTGATACGTCACAGCAGAATTGCTTTTTTGCACACGTCAGATGTACACCATTTTCATTAAACGTATCTGGCAAAAAAATCATTCTTTCGAGGACACATTGTACAGCCCTGTGTGTTTGTTTATACAAAACCCTCTCACACAACGTGAATATGACCAGGGCATGCATACAGCACATTTGATAGCCTACAGTACTATATCGTGTATACGTGGTTGAATTGAGGAGAAACGTTACCTTTGGTTTATATCCAAACCTAAATTAACGCTGGCCTGGTAGTCCGAGACTAATACATTGGACTGAGGACAGGTAAAACTCGAATGATGGTGGTCACATACATTGACTAGTAGCATCATTTAAGGGCTATAATTCCGAGCCAGTCTCCAATGCTACTTTGCTGCAAATTGGAACTGAATAAAACTGACAGAAAATGTATATATACATGTCTGTCTCGTTCAAGAGGACTGGCTACACATACTGAGGACAAATGAGCTTAGGTTCACACCAGTCCTCTCCCAAACCAAAGGCGTGCATATTAATTATGGATGTACAATTTTCATCTTCATTAATTCTTTTTTTCAAATTTCATTATTTCAAGTGTAGGTGATATGTGACACATTAGATCAAAAACAAATTTATCGCATCCTTATATGATTTGAAGCTAGGATTGTAATTATTTTTGTAAATCTGTATCCTTTTATGCAAATATTTGTCTCGAACATCTTAAGAATAATTCATTCATTCACGTGAACATTCATAGTTACCGTGCGCATCCAGCCTTGACCTTAGTGTGTGACGAACGTTCACATCTCACGTGGACATTGGGCTGTATATTATATCGAAAGCTGCATGTGTTTCTTGCAACGAATAATTTGCCACGTTTATCAAATACGTTGAAATCAATCTAACTGAACACAACGTTTAAGCTGATAATACCAATAACCATGGAAACATGCAACAGCTTGGAGAGAAGGCGTATGCTCACAAGATTCTGACGAATGATAACATATTTTAAGTTTTTGATTTAAAAAAATATTTATCCGTTAATACAAACGTTTCGTAATTAAGGACATTTCCAATGCGAATAAAGTATATTCACTAGCCTAGGAACATAGATTATTACCATAAATGACAGAAGAGGGAGTACGTGAAACTGGCATCGCTAGATTTGTATTGAAACATATCGTCGGTGCTGAGCAGATTTGTGAGTGCCGATCAAGTGCAATAAAACTATACATATTGATACATTTTTCTCGAACTGGGAAAATCGTCATGAAATCCGGGATATGTACATTCTGGTAACAGCTTTCCTTGCCATTTTGGTATGCACATCAACATCACAAGTTGCATTCGCCTGTGGCTGCATCTATGTTTTTTACTCAAAATAGCAAACATGTGTACACGTAATGCCTAACGGTTCTCCCACGCCTGTCTCACAATCAAATTTTGTTGCGTGCGTAAACTTAGTTGCTCAGCAACGCTATGATCAGCAAAATGCATAAAAAAATACTTTTAAAAAGCTGTGAGAAATTTATCTCTTGGTGTGAATGAATGGTCATCAACCGTGTCACCTCGCATTTCGATTGTCTAGAATTAAATTTTATCACTTTATATAATTAAAATCGTCAAGAGAATGCCATATTTTTATTAATAGTATTGAAAGTAATTCTCGATTAACCCATTGCACGATCCCCGGAATCAAAAGGCAAGCCACGTTTTGTTAACGTATGCAATGATTCCGTAATGTGCAACAGCGAATATTATTGGTCTGATATGATGTTATGTTTTTGTGTAATGTGTGTAATTAAAGTACATCATTGGAAGAATCTGGGACAAACAAACAATTCATGTTACGAATTTCATTTATTCAATATATATTTACCAAATACCACATCCCGACCTTAAACGTACAGGGAGCTTTAGACGTCACGCATCTGTGGTTGATGTAAAAATAAATACTCGCGCATACAAATCAAATTCTCATATTTCTTCTTCAAATAATGCATGTGTTTAGGATTGCCGCCTTAATTACGATGGTATTATGCCAACGTGTTTAATCCGCGACAAATAGTCGAGTTCATAATTTATTGTTTTTCCATAACTCAAACTAGCAACTCACGCTGACGTTTATATCGTTTCTTAATGTAATCGGCAATCACATTAAACAGCGCCGCGTTCCCACGGCAAATCGCACAACTCAAGCCTCGGGCCTAGAGGCGTGTTCATTGAGCCACGACCGAATCTGCCTGTCTCGCTTGCGCCAAATGATGTCAACTCGAAGCAAAATGGCGGCCATGTTTCTATGTCAAAGTATTCTCGATACGATACACTGCAACAGCTCTGCAGCTATCGCTGTGATTACAGCGCTTGGTCTGTTATGTCGCCCGGCTAAATATATCCCTACTTTAATTCACCGCAACACGCGACTTGACCCACAAAGCAAAATCAATACAACGTCACACTCGGCGAGCCAATCAGAAGCACGTATTAGAGTTTAGGTGATTCCCCTTCTAGCCCCTGGACTAGTTGGCGCTGATTGGCTGAAAAATTGATGTCACATGGGTAGCTCTTGGTATATATCAAGCGTTTTACATGGTCAAAGCAGAACACTACGTGAATCAGTTTTAAAAGGGATAGTCTGATCTAAACTCCTAAATACAAGGAGTAAAGTGGCTTATAGTTTAAGGTAAGAGGATATTTATTTATTTATTTTGTTTAATTTTGATTTAATCTTAACACATATTTTGATTTTTTCAAATATGCCTACCGACATTTAGGTTGGCGTAATTGATTCATAAGCCATCGATGATCTGATTAATGGACAAGCGATTTGGTGATTTTGCAAACACATTTTAATCAAAACATTGATAATTTTGTTTTGTTTATGTATTGACATTGTTATCCAAAAGGGAATAATTAATGATATTTTATACATATTTATTTGACAGCATGTACGTTATTGTTCATGCAGTGTTTGAATCCACATGCGAACAACAGACTGCGGCTGTTCCATTTTAATATATTTTTACCTTGAACTTGTACATGCACATATTATATTATACTTAGGTATTTTATATTCTCTTAACAGTTATTTGATTTTTTTCTGTTTTATTACAGCTGTCGGCGTTTCCATAGCAACGACTTTAGATAGGACAACACAATATCCCCCCAAATGTACACTGAATCTGTAAGTATTAGAACATGTGTGATATAAAATGATTTAAAAATATCAATGCCTCACGTCTTCATCATCTGCTTCGTAACGCCATACAGGCTGTTATCATATCGATTGATCCATACACTTGTCACAATATGCGCTGTCACAGTAAGCTGCGTTCCTTCTTCTGATTCAGCCTTGCTTATGAAACATTGCACTGAGATATATATTCCTTCCGATCATGCAGTTACAGTTAATTGTTTTATTTTCAGTATTCTGAACAAATGTTTGACACGGACAACGCAAGTATGTTCAGCATGTATGACCCAACCATCGTCAAACCTGAACCTATGTCCGAGAACTCATGTTCTGAGACAGATCATCCAGTCTACACTGATCTGTCTTCGGCACAGTACTCGTTCACAACGCCCAAACTCACCCTTTTGAAACAAGAAAAGACAGGTAAGCACCACTCTCAGTAAAGCAAAGGTACACACATATATCATACACTAAGAAGTTATTTTTTTGTCGTCCTTCGTTAATAAATATTTTAAACACAACTAAACACATTAATGTCATTGAAACCTAATTTTGTGAAATTTTCATTTTAAAGAATTTGCGGAAACATTCGACAACCTTCTCAGCTGGACATCAAAACACCCCGAGCACTGGTCAAGACGTGAAGTTCTTGATTGGGTCTACTATGTCGCTGATGTCAAGAAATTTGACTGTTCAAAACTCTACGGCGAACGATACCAGAGTCTCACCGGACAAAAACTATGCAGGATGTCAAAGGCAGACTTCACGTCTCTGGACTCGCACTATGGAGCGATACTTTACAGCCTGTTCTCATCTCTCGTTCAGAAATGTAAGTTAAATAAACTAAAACTTTATATATTAAACATGGACAGCCCTATTCAAACCTTTTTCCCGTCTTGATAAGAAATATAAAACTAAATGTTTCTGATTATTTTAAAAAAAAAAATTTTTTGTTTATTAATTATTTTCTGTTTATTTCAGCAATATTCAGCGAGCCCTCTCCCCCCGATACCCTGAATCCCGATGCGTACCCCTTCCTGCATACAACCTATCCCTGCCTTCCGGTACCATTCGGGGCGACGAGTGACCCCTCCAGCACATCAAGTAGGTACCAATCAATCAACGATTGATGACGTTCATTTAATTAGTCATGTAGCCTAAAGCTGAGATTAGGTACCGCCTCATTGGGTACTGGCTGTGGCGGTAGGAACATTATATGGACATTCGTCATTTCCTGGCTTCATAGTTCAAAGCAACTTTGGGCGGAGGCAGACTGCAGATTCAAATACTGAGTTGAGCTTTTCAAATCATGATTACACTTAATACGAATCCAGCTGCATAATTTCCTGTTTCCTTGCTATCAATGTTAATATCATTTCTGATTCATTTTGGAAATTTAGAAAGTTTATTGAATGCTATTGAATAGTCGGGTTTTCTTTAGTGTTGGACATTGTTTGTAATTTGTTCATTTGTCTATTTCAGCTGAACACGATCTGTCAGTCTTCATCAACGACGCTGGTGTCTCCGTGGACATCGACGGCAACTTTTACGACATCGACGTTGCTACCAAAATAGACATCCCCAAAATAGACTGCGACTACGGATACGTTAGCGGAGGTAAATGAAATTATTTTAAAGTTGAAATCTTGCACATATTCAATCAGTTTCACAGTTGACCCTGCAAATGCTCTTTATCCATCATAATACAGAACAGATATTAATAAAAATCAAAATAAAAAAATATTTAAGATTTTCACAGTGAAATGTTTTTTCGTTTTTAGGCTCCGACATGGAAAGCAATATGGCTAGATGCGGTTCCACAAGTAGCGAGCCGTACGATTCATTCAGCATCTCCGATGAAGAAGAAATGCAGACGTGCAGTCATTTCACCCAGACATCGAGGAGAAGGATGTCTCCCAGTGTCTCCTCAGACGAAGACATTGAGGAGAAGGTCGTCTCACCGAGGAAGAGAATAACTTCAAGTAAGTATAAAAGACTTGAAGCAAATATGATTGATTAAATTGCAATTAAATAACCTGTATAAATCATGGCAATAATAATTTAAATATTCGAATTGATTGTTTCAAACGTGTAACTGACATGTCATAAATAAAATTGAATTTTCATTTAATTTGTTTTCTTTTGTAGCATCGAAAGGCAATCACTTGTGGGAGTTTATCAGAGACTTGTTGAAGGACCCCAACTTGAACCCATCCCTTCTCAAATGGGAGGACAAGGAATCAGGCGTCTTCAAGTTCGTCCAGTCCGAGGCTGTCGCCAGCATGTGGGGTCGCAAGAAGAACAACCCTGGCATGACATACGAGAAACTCAGCCGCGCCATGAGGTGAGATATTGCTCAAATCGTAATTAAGTAAAATAAAAATAAAAATAAACTGAACTAGCCTAATAAAACGCGGTTGTGTCAGTGCTGAAATGTCATGCTTGACTATTGTGACATTTTAATTGGCGTTGCAACTATCACTGATATCTAAACGCGATAACATAAAATCGAGATGTTATCACTGATGTCATTTTTAAATCTCATCACATCACGCGATACGTGTTTCCTAACAACTTGTAATTACTGGTTAAGTGTGAGGCTCTCCTTTCTCTTCCCCGAGGCTATTTCTTCCGAAATCAGAACCCATACCTTAATTCATCATCTAAATCAATTATACCTGTCAAATGGAAGGTGTTGATCTCGTTAAGCTAATCTGGTGATTAATCACGTGACGTAACGCCTTGGCGCTCACATGATCGATACTTCTTCCCGAGGAGATGTCTTGAACCTTGAAAACCAAACCTTGCCTCGCGGGTGTTTTTATATGTTATGGTTCGTCAAAAATGGCGCCCTTTCTCCGGGAAGCCACTACAGCGCACCGCCCCAAAGGGAGGCCACTCTAAATATTGTATGCACATTTTACAGTTGCTTGGTTGCGTGTCGTGTCTTGTTAAGCCTGATGTATAGAGAGTTTGTGTATAAGTATTCGCGTTTTTTCCCCCACAGATTCTGCCGCACAGCAGGCTACTTTGGAGATGTGCCCAAGAATGGAAAATTCCCAAAGAAGCTCTGCTTCCGATTCGGACCCAAAGCTCATGACTGGAAATAAATTCTGAAGTCGTTTTATATCCAAGGTAAAGATACACTTCCATTCCAAGAAAACAGTAATTAATTATAAATAACAGATATGACAATTTGTATTATTATTATCATTATTATCATTATTATAATAATAATAATAAAAAAATAAAAATAAAATAAAATGATAATTTTAAAATATATTTTTTAATTATTATTATTATTATTATTATTATTATTATAAATACTATTATTATTATTAATAATATTATTATTATTTCAGGATATTCATGACAATCAAGTCGGCGGGTCCGATTATAGTGCTAGTGCGGTTCAAATCAAGTGACTCGAAGAGAAAAGGGTCGTCCGCAAGTCAAGTTTCCACCGTGCCAAACTCCGTACACTGTACGCTGTACGTCTGTACGTCTGTACATTTGTGTAACTTTGATGAAGACTGTATATTGTTTCTGATGACGGACATCGCAAGCAGATCCACCGTGACACGACGATCGCCGTTGACAGGTCGATGCATCGAAGTCGATATATCTGTGATATATGTATTGATGACAATAACTTTGAAAGCGCGCCATGTTATGGCCTTTTATTTCCTTTGGAGATTCTGTGGTATATGAATCCGGGCTGAAATCGACAAGAGCCCCCGAGTGACTGACACCTAACACGCTCTATGCAATCGACAAGGTGCTATCCTGCCCACCTCATGCAGTGTGACATTTGACAAAACGTGAAAACAAATTATGTATTTATCATGATAAGTACATAATGTGATCACAATACGTGATTAAAAATAAACTTTAAGAATTCAAAATTTCAAATTTTGAAATTTTGAAAGTTTTGGATTCAATTTTTAAAATGTTAAAAATATTTCTTTTGTTCAGTACCATTCATGAACATATGATCACAATACGTGATCACAATTTATGTGAATATTTCGGTTTTGAAATTTACAAATTCTGCCATTTGGCATAGCACCAAAGACTCATATATTGCGGGATAAGGAAAACATTGATAACCCTCTGGGTTAAAAGCAAGTATCCCTTTTTTGGGATTATATCTCATATCGCTGGTAGGAGTTAGTTTGCTATGTATATAATCTGCCGGTCAATGCCTTTTTGTACAGGCAAACATTTGTGCATTTAAGTGTATGTCGTACAAACATTTACACTATCGCTGTGCCTTTATGTTATTCGCTTTGGAAATACATTGATAATCATTGTTGTATTACATACATTTTTAATAAAATTAATGAAATGAGTTGATTGTTGCTAATGTATTTGTATCAGGAGGAATGATGTGAGGTGATGTTCTGTCGATAAGCTGGATTACAGTCTGAACCATATTAGTTTCTCTCCCACCCAGCCCTTTCTACCATACAAAAGCCCTAAGTGAAGCAAGTCTAGATTTTCCTCAGGGTCTGAATCTCTAAACTCCCCGGGGCACCATTTCAGTTTAGAGGGAGTTATTTATTTCAATAAAAAAAAATTGTTTTTTTTCAGGGACTAAGTCTTAGTCTAACGTGACCTTTCCGGATAAAGATCTGCGGAAATTGTGTCAGTTTCAGAAATTATAATTAGCCAATCAGTGTCGAGTTTGCGCACGAATTGTTCACAGGTGGACATACTCATAGTTTATTTTGGTACCCTACGTCAAACGTAAATGTAAAATAATAACTATAATTCATTGGCTCGATAATGGCCGTTCAATGTATACCGGCCATAAATATAACGGTACGTGATATGTATTTATAATTCTAGATAGAGAGTCGTGATAGAAATGGCTAAATATAGTATCTGTCGAATTTGAATAATGCTCCTGGATTAAATCACTTGCAGTAAATCTTCCGATATCTCTTGATATACGCCCATTACGTGTCATTTCACGTGTTTAAATATTTGCAAATACAAAACCGGGTTTTATTAGAATAAATCAGATCCTAATTCGGCGTTCCTGCGTTGTATGAATAGTGAAGCGGTTGTTTAACAGTCGGATCATCACTCGGACGCTCACGTCGACATCCATGTCGTAAATAAGGAGGAAACTGTCGCTGTATCTAACCACGTGCACTTACTCATGCCCACGTAGATAACTGCTCATGTTTGCCGGGTGGAAAGAAGCCAACGCCTACACAAAACATGTATATTTCATGTATTTTAACAACGCAATGGACAGCAGTGACAGCATACATTGCCGACTCTCGTAATGTTCCCCACAACCTTCCAGCCCCCTCAACACACACATCCAACAGCACCCCGGCCACTCCCGTGTTTTAAGTTTACATAACAATGTTGCTATTTAAAGAAATGAAATTTAACGAAAACAGGTAACGTAAAAAATTTAATTACTTTTGCGAATTGCTCGACACTTTCTTGGAAACTGTCTCCTTGAAACAGAACGAATGGTTTAAAGGGTGGGCGCGTATCCGGTATGATAAGTGAGTGAATGGATATGGTTTTAAGCCGCTTTTGGCAATATTCCAGCAATATAACGGCGGGGGACACTACAGGTGTGAGTGAGTTGTGTTTTCGCCGTTTTGAATAGCATTCCTTTTGTATCACACCGTGTCAGCTTACAATGGGAGGAAAGCCCGAAGTGAGGCAGGCCTTAGACGTTTACCACTTTGGTGAAACCCACGAGCACGGGTATGGTGCTGATAAACCTAGAAACATAATTGGGGCGAACCGGGATTCGAACCCACGATCATAGGTTCATGGCGTGTCCTGAGGACTCTGTAACGCGATTTGTGGCGTCTTAGACAACTCAGCCACCGTACCCCTCACTATAGGAATCAGTTGTTGAACGAGTGTTCAGTTGTATCACAGAGTGTCAGTGTAGGAGCAAGGCTCACTGTGATGTATGTTTTAGAGGTTTATAACTTTGGCGAAACCCATGAGCATGGGAATAATCTACTGACAAGCTATAGATTATTATCTAAGATTCGAACTCACGACCACAGGATCCAGGCACGCCAAAGGGCCGCAATTCTGAAGGTAAATTTGTGCGCTTCCAACAAACGGGCTTAAACGTGTTTGACAAACTACTAACTTACTAACTCTAACATGGCGAGACGAGGTGAAAAAGGGATCAAGACTATTTCACCCTATAGCGACGTGTGTGTGTGTGTGTGTGTGTGTGCGTGTGTGTGTGTTCGTGGTGTGTTTTGCTGATTGTACTCGTCCGAACTAATGTCGGTTTTGTTGTGCTAACCTACTATGATACCATGGTTACTAGTTTAAAGTTTATCTTTTAATGTCTTTTGATACGTGATGGGACCACTCTCCAGGCAGACCCACTAAAATAACTATGTTTTAAATAACTAAAAATGACAAAAACGTAAGCCTAATCGCTGGTATTCTAGATCTATTAGTGCGTTAGCTATACGCACTATATGGACATAAAAATACAATTTAAGCCTGCTTAGGGAATAATATTGTTGTATGATATACTTTTTTTAATGTCACTCAAGTCATCGTTTAGAAAAAAAAAGTGAATCCTGATTTGCAGACGAAATTAATCAATCTGACTGACTATCTGCTATGTAGGTCAACAAGCGAAATTCTCAGCATGTTTCACTCGTGAAATCTGATTACATACATGCACATTCTTTCTTAACACTGTACCTATGACCTTGCCACATAGTCATGTCGGATGTTATTTTCACCAGGTCCAACTGGCGAGATCGATATGAAAGTAACAGTGAAATAATAATAATAATAATAATAATAATAATAATAAAATACTACTACTACTACTACTACTACTACTCCTTAGTGTGCCAGGGTAACCCAAACCCTCTTTGCTGCATTTTGTATTTTAATCTGTACATCATCATCATGATCATCATGATCATCATCAATAATAATAATAATAATAATAATAATAATAATAATAATAATAATTGTATCGCTTGCATCCCAAGTACCAAGTTGTCCGACTCCCCATTGTTCTCGGTGCCTTAGGTTTGGTACCTCCCAATCTGTTGACTGACATTGGGAGAGTGCCCGGGTTTGCTTCCAGGAATACAACCCTTCATATAATCTGGGTAATGCAGAAGGCTGCAGTGTTGGGGAGTCTTCACATTCTCCGAAACGTTCTGGGTGGGTTTGACTCGGCAGCGCTTCCTAGGAGGAGTCCCATTCGCTGTCTGGGCTGCGTGTAGAGGGGGCAAGGGCCCTGAGCTGATGATGAGCCTAACCAGCCGGACTGTGCCAGGATCACCCAAACCCTCTTTGCTGCATGTTTTTTTTTAATCTGTAAATAATAATAATTTAATAATTATATTGATATAGTTTATTATTGTGAATTGTGTAAAAGTACATAATCAGTAGTTCAGTCCTACATCCGGCCTCACGGGGCCTATAAGACATCAGGAGGTCACCGACCAGTCTGGCATGTGTGGAGTGTTTTAGTGAATATCAATAATTGTATCTATCATAACCGGTTTGGAGTGATGCTCATGTAATGGTGTGCGATACAGATTCGGAGGACATGTATGCAAAAAATACATTTGAGTGGATTTTATAGTTTTAATTTATTTTGTTTATTTGTTTGTTTGTTGTTTTACGCCGCACTCAGCAATATTCCAGCTTTATTACATGCATGTAAATAATCGAGTCTGGGCCAGACAATCATGACACCACGAGCATCGATCTATGATCAACTTGCACATAACAAGATGCATCACTGAAGTCAGCAAGTCTGACTACACGATCCCGTTAGTCGCCTCTTACGTTTTAACCAAACCCCAAGTCCATCCTACCCACACTCGTTCATAGACAACAGACCAGTCCACATCCACCTACACCCATCCACCCACCCTTATTCATGTTAGAGCGAAAGTCGAAAATGAAAGTTAATGATTTTTTGTAAAACAACAGAATTCAACAAGAGTTGTCTCCCCTGGTCTATCAACTCAGAGGCCTTCACATGTTACTTGTATGCGTGTGTCCCTTTCAGATACGACCAAACAATGTATATTGTTATTGATTTTATGATAAGATTTAAATTACATTCGGCTACAGAATAAATTTATCTTTAGTGTGTTGTGGCACAGCGCCACGTCCCTTCTTTAAATCATAATAGACATGTTTTTCCTCTCTGAAGGTAGCCAACACAATTCGCTATCAAGTAAGTGACGTCCATGACTGGATAAACGAGATTCCAACTATGTCGCAAGTTATATATTGGTGATCTGGTGAAAGGTAAACGTATTACAAAGCTATAACCAACTCATTTAATCAACTCACACGTTTTCGATAGAAAAGAAACAGGACCACGAAACTCACGTATTCAATGATCTCTTAAATAACACGTGTGAGATAAGCTCTAACATTTGGTGTCAGGTAGTCGGGTGACTAAATAGGGTTTCAAGGAGCCAACATCATGTACGATGACGTATTCAGCTATCGGGACATATGCTGCTGTTATGAAATGAACGAAAGTAGTTTTTAAAGGTTTTGAATTATGAGAGAAGCACCTGTTTAATATGTTCATTAATGACTTGGCTCTAGATATTGATCCAAATGTGAACCAGGAATCCTGTTCCATCCAGAACTTCTTCAGCTGTTTTTATTATTGTTTGCGGACGATGTAACTCTAATTGCTGATACTGTATTTGGCCTACAGAAGCGCATTGATGTTCTTAAAGATTTTTGCCATAGATATTCATTAACTGTTAACTTTGATAAGACTAAAGTAATGGTGTTCAGTAAAGGAGGAATGTTGTCTAAAAATGAAAAATGGTATTAAGGAGATGTTAGATTAGAATGTGTTTCTTCTTATAAATATTTGGGTGTATCATTCTCAAAAAGTTTAATTTGGTCTAACCATGTATGCAATGCTGCACTTCAGGCCATAAAAGTATTGTTTGGTATTTTAAAATCACTCAGGAATGTAAAACCATTTGATAATAAAGTATTTTTCAAGATATTTTATACCAAAGTAGCACAAATATTGTTTTATGGAGCTGGCATTGGGGGCTTTAATAAATATCAACGAGAGAAGCACCAGTCTCATTATAATCGGATCGTCATGCAGAGAGGTAGGTATCGGAATGAAGGATCTGATTTTAATGGGGGATTGAGTATGGGTTTACGCCGCTTTTAGCAATATTCCAGCAATATCACAGCTGGGGACAACAGAAATGGGCTTCTCACAAATGACCCATGACGGGAGTCGAACCGGGTCTTCGGCGTGATGAGCGAACGATTTAACCACTAGGCTACCATACCTAGTTTTATGTTTTGTTTGTTTGTTGT